GCAGCGTACTCCCACCCACCGAAACACAGCGGTGGATGCTGATTGGGTGTGGTCGCCGAGGCCGGACGCCGCTCGGGGGACCAGGGAGGGGAGGCGGGAAACAGCTTAGTGGGTGCGGGGTTGCGCGGTTCCTTCAGCCAGGCAGTGAGGAGGTTCCGACATGGCGGTGCAGCCGAAGGAGACGCTGCAGCTGGAGAGCGCGGCCGAGGTCGGCTTCGTGCGCTTCTTTCAAGGCATGCCGGAGAAGCCGACCACTACGGTGCGCCTTTTCGACCGGGGCGACTTCTATACGGTGCACGGCGAGGACGCGCTGCTGGCGGCCCGGGAAGTGTTCAAGACCCAGGGGGTGATCAAGTACATGGGGCCGGCAGGTGAGGGCGGGGACGGCGAGTGCTGGGGAGGGACCCGGGGCAAGTGGCGCGACTCCATTCCCGCATCGGAAAGTGGGCGGCTAACAGCCTCTGGCATGGGGGCGGGACGTTGGTGCCCCGGCGCTCGTGGGGATTCCGCCTTCCCCAGCCTCTGCCTGAGCTCGGAGGGACGCCCCCTCAGCCCTGAACCCCGTGCCTCTCCAGCTGCCCCGGATTTGAACTTGAGATCACGGAGTGTTTACGTCATGCCAGGCGTTTTTAATGCACTGTTGGAGTTCATTTTCAAGCCGTCGCATACCTCACCTTAGTCGTGTAGCGCTCATTACATACATGGCCAGTGTCTCGTATTACAAACGGCAGCCGGGAGTGATACTTAAAATGGAGGGGGGTTTGGGAGACCCTTTTATGCCACCCACGTAATTCTGCCCCCACGACACTCCCATTTATGCCGCTGGTCCAGCTAAGAGGCTGGTAATGGAGCGCTGTTGAGGGGCAGTATAATGAAGTGGTCAGGACCAGCGGACCCGAGCTGGGCTTCTTGGGATTAAGTCGCTGCCCCTCGCTCATTAACGTGTGACCTTGGGCTAGTCATGGACGCAATCTGCTTCAGCTCAGCATTCAGTGTCCTGTATCACCCGGCCCCATCTATCCAGCGTCATCTCTCCCTGGAAAGTTACAAATGTCTCACTCTATGTGGGCCAAATGTTCTGGATAGGCCTAGTTGACCTCTTTTCTCCCTGTTTTCTTTGAGCTTTCTTGCAGCTAAGTAGTTAAGCTAATGAAAAGAGCATCCTAGGAGGAGTAGAGTTGTGGGTTCTAGTCCTGACTAGAGGACTAGTGCAAATGCGATGCTCGTGATGAAAAATGTTTCATTCGTTAGATAGAAACGTGTCAGGCAGGGTTATGGACACTAGATGAAAAACAAATACCTCTACTTTCATAGAGATCACTATCGCAGAGCAAGGCAGAAATAATTACAATTCAAGTTGGAGGCTTATGGAGGTGAGCTCGGAGGAAGTTGCAAGAGGCGCCAAGGAAGGATCGCCAAAGACTGGAGACGTCGGAAAGGGCATTATGAGACGCCAAAGTCCATGTTGAGTCTTGAGGGACTAGGAGTTTGCTAGGGAGAGGGCTTGAAAAGAGGTAGACTGGCGTCACTGGTGTTAAAAAGGAAGGTGAGGAGACTGGCCCAGGTGGGTGGGGTTAGATGACAAAAGACTTTTCAGGTTGTGTTGAGCTGTTAGGAATTTTATGCTGTAGGCAATGAAAAGTCTGAAGATTTTTAAGTAAGCATCCAGCGGTGTGTTGGATCATTTTAGCTGTAGTGTAGAGGCTGGCTTAGAAGAGGGAAAGAGTAGAGGTGTAAGGCCAGTTAAGACAAGTCAGCAGGCTGGGCGCGGTGGCTTAGGCCTGTAATCCCAGCACTTCGTGGGAGGCCAAGGTGGGTGGATCACGAGGTCAGGAGTTAAAGAAGAGCCTGGCCAAGATAGTGAAACCCCGTCTCTACTAAAAATGCAAAAATTATCTGGGCGTGGTAGCAGGAACCTGTAATCCTAGCTACTCGGGAGGCTGAGGCAGAGAACTGCTTGAACACAGGAGGCAGAGGTTGCAGTGAGTGGAGATCCCACCACTGCACTCCAGGCTGGCAACAGAGACTCCGTCTCAAAAAA